TCGATACTTATAAGTGCATAAAAATCCGCGCTCTAATTATAAGTATAGTATAGTCATAGTAATATTACAATTTCATACAATATTAATGGCTGTTATATTAACTATAATTTTTAAGTCAATATGTCGTACTATATARAACTTTGGAAAAAGTTCGTAAAATAATTATAGCTTAAAATGTATTTAAATATTTTTAAAATCATATTGTGTTTAAATAAAAGTGATAATTTAGTAATACTTGAATRTTTCATGTTTCTACGATAAATATTGGTTGAGTGATACAAAATAAAAACAATCTTATAGACTATTAGTGGATAAACTATTAGTGTACAATTTTGTCGACATTTGAATTTTAATCTCTCATTTAATAAAATATATATTGCTTTACACTAAATTTTTTTTTCCAATTCCAGTAAAAAAGCATCACTTACGAGAAACATTATTTAAATATTTAAACCTGGTAAGTAATAATTTTTAAATATAAAATAATTTGCAATTGTTCTGAATTTTTATGAATACATTAAAGAAATTTTAAATTAAAATATTTACAAAAAAAAAAAAAATTATGATGATATACTTTTGATATTTTTTAATATTATAATAATAAACTACTTTTAATCAAAAACAAAAATCTCATCATAAATAAACCAAAAAAGAGCGAAAATAATTTGATAATTTGAATACAAAATCAATTTGGTTGAAAACATGTTTTGCTTAAAATTTCTATTTTTCCGTAATTTTTATTTTTCAATCATTATTAATCCTTGTTAATTATTTATCCCTGGGAATTTTTTCTTCGACTCTCCAAAGAACTAACTAAAAACAATTTTCTACCGTAAACAGTTCTCACAAATAAAAATTAAAAAATGTCCATTATTTCTAAAAGCCTTTAGATGATACCCAAAAACTAACAAAAATAGAGAGTATATAGTGGTAACCATTAYGCTATTTACAGTAGGACAGGTATCAACTGTCGAGTGTACTTTGCCATTGARTAGGCGACTGTAAAATGCTTAATTTAACAATCAACAGTTCCAATGAGATATAATATTCTACCAGAAACCATCCCCAAATTTGAAAATTGAATCATTTTTTTTTCTACTATAAAATAACATCTATAGTCACGT